CACACCCCAGGGTTTAGGGCAATGAAGAGGAGAATGAAGGAGACCAGGGGGAGGCATTAGCACGCACCCTGAGGAGTGCACACTTCAGTCGGCTTACCCTTGGCCGTGTGCACACTTCCCTCTCAGAGCTATTTATTTTTCCAGTGAGCAGAAACAAAAGTGAGACGTGGGAGGCCACTTCAGTATGATAAAAGGTCACACTTCCTAGTGCAGGAACAAGATTTCCTGGCCAGCCAGGACCAAAACACAGCATCAGGATTCAGGCCAGCAGAGGAGAGCGCACACACACACACACAGACACGCACACATAGAAGTACTTGAATAATACGTTATAAACTTATTTATGATAAGTGTACATATTTCAGAACCTCTGAATTACATAATCCTAATACCTAAATGTTGACGTGCAAACTGTTTTTTCCATAGCATCTCATTGCTCTGATTTAGAATAAAAAATGATCCCAAACAGTGTGATTGGCTGACTCATTTGAATGTATTTAGCTGCAATTCAAACTTTTGGACTGCAGATCTAACCAGAATGTTCATGAGAACGTATTTGGTCACATTTTGATGAGAAGATATGATTTTATGTCTATGCCCCATTTACACCTGGCTTCAACTTGAAAACTGTATACTGCATAAGCATATGGCTTTCAGGGATTCACAAAAGCTTTCCTAGCTTTTCCTTTAATATTTCTTAAATATTCTCTTACAGTCTTATTTTTTAGCAAATTGTAATTGTATTCTCATGTAGGCTATGGGTTACGTTGTCATAGAGGTTATGTTGCCACGCAGACTATCAATATCATGTTACATTTTACAGATTATTTTAACAATTACATTATGCGACACTCATTAGATGTTACCATTTAAGAGGTTTGTCCAGTCAGTTTGCACAGTCTACGACAAATGTGAGACTGTCGTAAAGGTAATAAAACATCTAAGAACTTTTTTTCCCCAGAATATCATGTTCTTACAATACAAAGTTAAGAGTTAAGAAAGAAATTAAGAAAATTCTTAAGTTTTTTGAAGAATAATAACTTCTTTATGTACTTTAGAAAAAAGGCAAATTTCAGAAGACTTTCTTTCTTAAGACACTTCTGTGAATCCAGGCCCTGATTTAAAAAAAGTACACTTTACTAACTGCATGTAGAGTTGGAATCACAACATGTGCACACTGGCTGCAAGCAAGTAATCCCTCCCCACGGGTGCATGAGTATGGCCAGGCCCCCAACAAGCGGAGTAGTAATGAAAATCAGTTCTGAACTGAACATTTTTGTGAAGAAACTGGACTGCATTTGCACCAAACTGACACTGATATAAGCCTGTTCACCTACACTGAGGGATCTGATCACAATTCAAACTGCACTGTTAATTTCACATTAACTTTCAGCTCTTGTTAGCTAAATGCTGACTGCATGCACATTTTGCATGTTGATTGCATAAATAAGGTCTACATTATGTATTAGCAAGCACTTGACAAAGTGTGGGGAGTGCTGATCTAATAAAGCTGTGCGTTAAAGAAAAGTGTTCACAACAATGTTGATGGCATGCAACAGGGGAAAGATCACAGTATGGGCACATATTACACTATATCAATACATCCACTCTATCACCAGATTGTATTTGAGACATTTTTTTAATTATTGAAAGTAGGGTGGGGCAATATCACAATATATATTGTTATTATGATAAATTTCATCACAATACAATACAATTTTGTGCTTTCTTTGAACATATCGTGAGTACTTGTAGTTAGAACACTGACCAACTGCCTGTTTCATTATAAAGAGAGCAAAATTAGTCCCATTTAACTGGATTTAGTGCAACACAGTATGCCAAATATTGAATAAAAATCATTATGTTCACAGATTTTGATACTATTTTTTTAAATTTAGTACTACTGGTTCTTATTTCTCTGTTTCAACTGATCAAATGTTCGAAAAAATAAATATTGTGACATATTGTGTATTGTGAAAAAGTATCGCAATATTATATATTTTTCCACATCGCCAACCTCTAATGGAAAGTCATTTCTAAAAAATGTCACTGCATTGCTATGAGTCCGTAGGTGTTATCCACATGTTAAAGCTGTATTGGTACCAAGTTACAATGTGGCTATGCTTTATGAGTGCTTTGGAACTTAGTTTATTAATGCTTATTAATTAGGTCTTAAACACCTTAAAAATCTTTAATATACAGTAAGAACACATAAATAAATTGGTGGCCAAATAGTGAGCCCGCATTCATCTTCATTGTTAAAGCTCAGATCTTGCTGGTTACTTATCTCACTTCGTCTTCTCCATCAGTCAGCATTATACCAGTTAGCTTCATCAGATGTTCATAATCATCAGAAATAAGCAGGTATACTGTTGCCCTTTTATTTAACTACTTATTAATGATTTTTAATTTTTTTTTTCAACCTAATTCATAAACATTAATGAACAAATGTTAAACCATTTTCAAACCTTTCATAAGGGTAGTCTTACTGTGAAGTCACTGCTGTGTTTAATAAGGACTAAGTTTTTAATTATTATTGCAACAATCATAACATTTCAATACAAATTTAAAGAACACTCCACATAATTAATTGGGTCACATGATCGCAATCAGTTCAGCATTCAGACTGAATGATCTGTCAGAGCACAAAACAGTCACCAAGAATACAAATTTTTCAGAAGCACCACAGCATACACAAGCAAAAATGTTGTGATTAGTCAGCACACATTCACAAATAATTAGCAGAGAAACTTGAGTTTTCAGATAATGTATCATTAATTATGTAGCTCTAACAGTGTGTGGGCACTGGCATTTCACTGATTCAACTACGCTGACCCAAATGCGCTGAATAGAAAAGGCAGAACATGCACCTTCTAGCTATTTGCCTGTACGAAAGGGAATTGTGAGTGAAAAAATAAAGAAATAAATAAACAATATGGCTTAAAACAAATTTACAAATGATTCAACAGTAATGTTATTGACTTCTTGTATGTAATCTCACCACTTAGGAGTGTCAGAAAATAGGGCTCTAAGACAGTAATTGCATTCTAATTCCTCTGAGTGAGATAGCCATTTCTGCTCTGGAGATAAACTAATCAGCTCATCTGCGCCGTGTTTTCAGCATGTAATAGGATACAAAATGAGTACAGCACAGTTACAGACCAACACTGTCAAGGCTCTTCCACTGAGGGGAAAAAAGAAAAAAAGAAAACTTCTGCAAATTAAAATTTCATGATACTCTCTCTGCGGGAAATGTACAGACTAAGCATGAGATTAGCCGTAATGCATGTTTAATATTGTACCTAAAGGAGCTAAGTCATTTTGTTTGCACCTATTACAGTCTATTTAAAAGGCCTTAATTCGATATTGACTGCAATGTCTTGGCTGAGTTTATTTCCGTGCTGTCTCACTCAGTAAAGCAGGCACTTCTGTATCTTTGGTTAGGCCATTATGCAGTCTATAGGAATGTCATATTAATTACAAACTAATGAGCTAATAGTATTAGCTGTTAATTTATTCATAGTTTGTTATTGGTTCCTGAAATAGTATAAAATACTATAAAAAAAGTATAAAATTTCACTCGCCCTGGTGTCCAAGGACAGGTGATGCATCTTAACAGGCAGCAAGTTCCCAAAGGCAAAAAGCTATTAATAAAGATACAAAAGATAAGAACAAAGCAAATGAGGAGAAAAGGAACCATCAAAGCAAACTACACACTTAAACAAGATGGTTCTTCAAGGGTTCTTTAGCAAATGCAATTGTTCTATTTAGAACCATGAGTTCCACATAGAAGCATTTCATGCCTAAATGGTTCTTTGCTTGGTGAAGTGGTTCTTCAGATTGATGGACAACGTGTTGTATATGGTTCTCTATCGAACCCTTTTGAAAAGGTTCTACACAGCATCCAAAGGGTTCTGCTGTTGTTACAATCTTGCGATAGCAGAACTCTTTTTGCTGCTATTCAAAACCATTTTTTAAAACATTCTATACAGAACCATTAAAACACACTCTCCATCAATCTGAAGAACCATTTTACCATGGAAAAAAAAAATTAAGCATGAAACGTTACTACATTTTACATTTACAGCATTTAGCAGACGCTTTTATCCAGAGCGACTTACAAAAGTGCATTGTTGTCTACTCAGAGAATGTACAAATACGTTAGAGTGAAGGCTACTCCTAAACTCAGATACTGCTAGAAACAAGTCTATACTGATACCTAGAGAAAAGAAACAGAATTAGACATAGTGCAATACATTAGATTTCAATAAGTACTTATATTAGACCGCGAGAAAGGCTGCTGTTCAGACAGCCAGTGGGAGTTCGTTCCACCACCTGGGTGCCAGGACAGAGAAGAGTCTTGATGCTTGATGATCTATATAGAACTCGTGGTTCTAAACAGCACCATTGCATTTACTAAAGAACACTCAAAGAACCATCTTTTTAAGGATGTACAAAATGACAGAAAAGAAGAGTTAAGGGCAGCAATTCTAATCATTTAGTTAGAGTTTTAAGAAGTTACAGTTTTAAATATAGTGCATATGCTCTGCTGTGTTAAATATAGAGGTATGGGGGGAAGAAAGAAAGAGAAAAAGAAACCAGGCAAGACAGAAAGACAGAAACCAAGTAAGCAAGCGAGAAACACTAACAGAAAGAAAGAAAGAAAGAAAGAAAGAAAGAAAGAAAGAAAAATAGAAAGAAAGAAACTAGTACAGATATAGGGATAGAAGAAAGAAGATACGACAGTTACTTTACTCGAAGGTCACTTTCCTTTGGCTACTGCTTATCACCAGCTGAAGAGTGTGCGCACGTGCTCCGTTACGTCAAAGTTTGTTAACGCGAGCGCGCTTAAAGTTTCCAATAACGAACAAATTTACTACAGTAGCAATAATTATTATTGTAGTTCTGACTACTTGTTGACTGCTCTGACTTCACTAAGTCATCCATACATTCATTCATTCTCTCACTCACTCAGCAGGCTGTGCTCGGGTGCTACTCACAGTGTGACCGAGGTGTTGGGCAGCAGTGCGGGCTCCAGCGTGTCCATCAGGTCCGCGTCCTCGCACACCACTTTCACTCGCACGGTGTGCCGGCTCAGCTCTTTGGAGCGCTCGGCCGAGCAGTGGCAGCTGTCCACGATGAGGTCCGGGCAGTTCCTGCTGGACACACCGCTCCTCCACAAACCGGCCACCAGCAAAAGCGCGGTCAGCACTTCCATTGTGGAAAGAGAAAAAACGCGAGTCTCCATACTTTCAAGTTATTTCTTCCCAACCTCGGGCGCTGTAAGAGTCCATTTCACGTGATTAGAGAGCCATGTATTCCCTTAACGGCGACGTTTCAGGGCGATGCGCGGACGGCACCTGTCTCCACAGCTCCTCCATTTCCACACACACCTCAGACACAGTTCACACCTTCATGTCTCATCCACGACTACAAATCCAACAAGCATCATCGCTTCAGCCGGAAGTTACCGTTACGTTCTGTCAGAGTTTATCACACTCACGTTCACTCACTTCATCTCCTTCAGACGCCGCTCCTCACTCTCCTCACTCGATAAATCCCTGAGAGAAAACTTTCCGAGTTCAGTGAGCTGTGTCCTCTGAATGTACACTTCCGGACAAAAATATGTTACAGTCCAAAAATGTATCAAATAAATGAAGGAAACTGAGAGCTCTGGAGAATTTCGTTAGTTTTTTAACGGCTGTCAACAGGTTGTCGTGGTGACTGGAGCAGCGCGCTCTGTCAGCGGCGTGGAGCGAAGTGGCCCCGCCCTCCCTGAAAGCAACCAAGAGCCGCCGCATTTCTATTGGCTTAAAGTTTACCACGTGACTAAAGTACAGTTTTACCGCCCCAAATGAGGCGTAGGAAATCTGACAAATTGCTGCACTCACTGCTCAAGACAAGTAAACAGAAAGATGGTTCTTTAAGGGTTCTTTAGCAAAGACAGTGGTTCTATATAGAACAAAGACCACTCAAAGAATCATTTGCATGCTCATTTTAGCATGCAAGTGGTTCTTTAAGCATTCATGGTTCTACACAGACCCACTGTCTTTGCTAAAGAACCTTTTTTTTTGAGAGTGGTTACATTGATAGTAGAGACAATATCTTTTTCTAATTAGTGTTGTCAGCTACATTTAGGTGCAGAGCCACACATGAGTCTAATGTCACCATGCCTAATGTCAAGCCTTGGCTAGAGAGTATAAAGCCACCCAGTGCTGGGCTGTGGAATAGTGGAATTTTATTCCTGATGGCAGTGGTTACAAACCCCCTCTCCTGGAGGTCCACTTTCCTACAGAGATTACTTCCAACCTGCACCTACCATGCTGCCCCCTCCCCTTACCTACACTAATGCATCTGATGCAGGCAATCAAGGACTTCTGAAGAAGTTAATTAGCTGAAGCAGGTGTGGCAGATTGTGGTTCGAACTGCAGCCCACAAGAAAAGTAGATCTCCAGGATCAGGGTTGTGGTAACTGCCCTAGAGTGATGGAGCACCATCCAAGATCTTTATCAGCAGAAAGCTGATCAAAAAGATCTTCCAGTACATTGTGGAAAATAATTATTTTGTGTAATGCTCCTGTACTGCATTTGTTTTGTACGATCTATTCATTCTTTCTGACACTGGTTCCACATGCAGCATCTGCTAGAAAATAATACAAAAGGTGCAGCGCTCACTTTTGTGATTATCTGTATCTCGGTTATAAGCTTGATGTCATACCATGACAGATGATCAGGTTGATTAAATGTGTAGGGCACACATTCAGCCATTTAAACTCTGAAGGAGCTCTCAGGTGAAATACTGGGTTTTAAGAACTAGGAACTTGATGACAGCTTAATCATCAGTGAAGAGTTGAGAAGTTGCTTAAACGGATTCGCTGAACAGCAGTAATTTGTGAGCTACTGCAGACACCAGGATGGAGAACAAAACAGAGACTGTGTGCGTATTACTGCAAAGTTCTAAAGCATTTATGTGGTTGGCAGACAGTGATGGAAGTCCATTTTAAGCAAGGGCTGTACATATATGAGCCATGTGTTTTTGTTTGTTTATTACATTTAGCATACTTTTTTCCCTTGGAGTGAAATAGCTGACTTCAAAGAGTACAAATTATTCCAAAATCCTATTTACAGTACACACCATTCATTTCTATTGCTTTTCAGTGTAGTGCTAGGTCTGTGAACATAACCTGGTAGCTTACACTGTAGCCGTGGGTGTTAGCGCTGTGATCTGCACCATGGCTGCAGGCTGTTGAACGTATGGGATTATAATAGCTCTGAGAGACAGAAGCTCAAGCAGCTGGTTCAGCTCCGAGAGCCGGAGAGGAAAAGGTGCTTCCCCTGAGTGGAGCACACCAAATTCCTCTCTCATTATACATTACACCCAGAGAGAGGGTAGAGAGGGTGAAGGAGGGAGAAAGAATGAAGGGGGGGGGGACAGCGAGTGAGCAAGAGAGGGAGAGATGGAGAAGTGGGAAGAGAGGGAGAGAGAGGGACAGATTGAGAGAGAGAGTAAGAAGGAGAGGGAGGGAGAGAGTGTGAAACAGGGAGAGTGAGAGAGAAAAGGAAAGAGTGAGAGAAAAGGAGAAAGAAAAGCAAAGAAAGAGAGTGAGGGAGAGAGAGAGTGGGAAGCAGAGATAGGGAGAAGCAGAGAAAGAGAGGGAAGGAGAGAGGGAGAAGCAGAAAAAGAAAGGGAAGGAGAGAGAGATAGACAGAGAAAGAGAGGGAAGGAGAGAGAGAGACAGAACAAGAGAGAGAGAGAGGGAAAAGGACAGAGTGGAGTGCATGAAGGGGGGCTGGAGAGAGAGAGAGAGAATCTGCCCTGTACCCTATGACCTGCCGACCAACACTACATTTCTCATCCTTCTCTTTATGACAACCAAACATTAGATGGTTCTTTTGTGGAAAACACCCATGACAAAATTTCTCACCCCCCTGACCACCCCACCCCCCCATACACACACACACTCAGGCACACACACACCCTGTTTCTGGGAGTGGAAACCAAAAACATACGTTAGGCTTCTGCGTTCCTTTCACATTCTGTCGCTCCCCTGGCTGCCTGGAGGAGTTGTTTACACAGATGTACTTTCACCTCTCCAGCTTTGGAAGTCCATTGGGGGAATAATCCCTCCTTCTCGTCTGAGGGAGCGCAAGAGAAAGATGCACACGACTGACATCATCATCTGAAATGATAAATCTCCACATGGAGGAGAGACAGAGAGAAGTGCTTGGATGGGGGCCACCAGTGTTCACTGGGCTACCAGCTCCTCACTAATGAGAACCAGAGGCTCCATTGCTCCATAATGAGGTGCAGGTATTTTCTCAGTGGTAATGTAAGTTGATTCACCAGTCAACAAACAGTAATGCAATCGACAGGAACGACTGAGAAATTTGATTCTGAGAGCTTAGTGTAAGTTGATTCATCCAACAACAAACAGTGAGGCAACTGACAGGAACGGCTGAAAAATTTGATATTGAGAGTTTAACTTATCAAACTGCATTACAGAACAAATCCAAGATGGCCATTTCGGCTAGTTCTTAAAACAAACAAGTACAAAAAAGGTGCTTTGGATGGCATAGAAGAACCACTTTTGGTTCCCTGAAAAACATTCAACATACAGTTCTTTAAAGAAACAACTTTCAGAATGAGATATATGAGTATGAAGAGCCTTTTTAAGGTTTAAATAACCTCTATGTGACATAAATCTTTTATATTATTTTAAAGTTTCTCCCAGGACCATACATCCAAGCTAAGAACCATTTAGGAACATTTATTTAAGCATTCATGAACATACAGAGAGAACAATACCTAATAGTGCCAGTGTGAAGTCTTTTCATGTTTTGAAATTTCATGGTGCAGAACAATTGTTGATTACCCACAGTAAATGCCAGTTAAGACAGTTTTCTGACGGAACCAAATCAATCCATGTGCCACGTTCAGAGGTCAGTGTTTTTTTCATGCTAGACAAATCTTAGCACACTGCTAGACCTCCAGACATACTGCAATTACATTCCTCAGTAAATATTTGTTCACATGTTTAAAGGAGCGATATGTAAGGTGACACAACCTGATGAATTCATACTCCACATACTGCAAACAAATGGGGGCAACATATCAACAGAAAGTCGCCATGTCAATCTCTACCATAAGCAACAAGGAAATGCACAGCCCCTCCTCCCAGAGATGGCTTATGAGGAGCCTGGCCTCTTACTATTTCCCCTGTTATATCAAAAACATGACTGCAAAAAAGCAGTGAGTCCTCAATGAATGGTGGGGAATAGAGCTAAACAGCTAAAAACAAAAAATTAAAATAGTTTCCAATCACTCGCCAAGGGCCTTCCTTTAATTTTAAAGTAGAAGGGTGTGTGTTCACTAAAAAAGCAAAACCTACCTGTATGTTTCCTTTTTTCTACAGCAGTCGGGTTTTGGGCAGTACAACACTAGCATTACTGTTACTGAGTGCTGATTGGTTGATGACTGGAGCAGTTAATTGATGTTCGTGCTCACTGACATCATTAAAGTACATGAGGTGCCATTTTAAACTCCTATAACTCGAGTTCAAAAGTGTTTAAAAATGTAACAGCAGTGTTAAAATGTTTTATGCTGTTCTGTGTTCAGGATATGTAATGCATTCTTTTACCTTATAAATGTTTAAGCATTTATAAACTCAGGAGTGCCCTCTAGTGTTTGAGAAACCTGGAAGACATTACCTAGTGGTAATTTTCCTCTCTACAAGTTCTCTGCCTCCTCCTCCCTCTTCACTTCTACCGCTCCTTACTAATCTAGAAGAAGCATTGCAGGTTCAGCATCAAATTTCATCTTCCTCGCCAAAAGAGCTGTCTCCAGTGGTGGAAATGTTAACTCTAGTTTTGATTCTATTTGTGTCTATTTAGCCTCTCATGTTGGACCAATTGCAGTCTCGATGCTACAGTGACTCATTATCACCTCTTGAGGTAGAAAGTGGTATTACAAGATAGGACAGGCTAGGGCTAGCTGGTTAGCATGCTAACTTCAGCAGATATCTCTGCAACACGATACATAGAAGTCTTTGACATAATGTAAAAAATGTTTCCTCACATTCTGTTCTAATTTTGGAATGTTTCAAACTACAAATTGCACCTTTAAGGAATAATGTGCTATTGCAGGTTAACGTTTACTTGTAATTATGACAAAAGGCTAGCTGCTTTGTTGTCTGTGTCTACATAAACTATGACAACATTTGGGAACTGATAAAATAAAACAAAATGCTATAAACACCATAAACAACTTTTAAAACATGTGCTTACATGAGATATATTCTAAAAATCATGGTGTTAAAGAAGCATAGAATCTCCCATTATATAGGCAAAAGTCTGGGATAAAGAAGATCTGAGAACTTTTGACAGGTGTGGTCCCATATGTATGGTCTAATCTAATCTAATGACTGTTTAATCTTCCTCCAGCAGGAGCGAGGCACTGGGGACAAAAGACAGGTACAACGCCGTTCTGCTGGCACATAGCCTGACAGGTACACAGATATGAACAGAGGCGCAGGAGAGCAGATAGAGAGAAAATCTGAGCCACTGTCTCTTCTCAGAACATCAGCAGAACATCAAAAGACCATAAATGAAACATTAGATGTGAAACAAAAAATGACGACTGTCCCATTCCGATTCACAGTTCACAGTTTTGTAATGAATTCAGACAGTGTGGCAATTCAGAGATGTGCAGCAGCT